GGAGACGTTGATATTTCTCTGGTAGAAACCTACCTGGAGTCTTAGGTTTAGATTATAGAAGATAGACTGGAAACCTGCTATGAAGCTAGTTGCCTAAATAGGAATATTGGGGGTATAAAAATGTCTGACAGATATAATGAAAGAAAGCAATATTCTAAGATAAGTAAACAGTATGATAAAAACACGAAGAAACAGGAATATTAAACATATTTTGGAAAGATATTGACATATTTTTGGATTAAAGAAAAAGGTATAATGATAATGGGAGAATGAAAAATAAGTTTAAGACCAGATTATGTATACGTATTTTCACATTCAATTGAAAGAATATTTGAAACTCAAAAGTGATTGAGTAAACTTAGGAAAATAATATGGCCTGATATTGATTGAATGATATAGATCTTAATTTTAAGGTCAAGAATCTTGTTTCATGATGATGATTTTTAGCTACCTCAAAAGGACTACCCGTTCACAAATTTCATGCACTAAACTTCAAAGTGTGACAGAGAAATGTGTTATAGTGGAGAAAACTAGGAACAAGAGACTTGAATACTACAATTTTGGGGATATTTAGAGCATCTAAGTAGAAATAAGCCTTTGGAATCCATATAAGAACCAACCCAGATTACAAAAATTGGGAAGGAAGGGATTGGGGTGGGGAACAGTGTCAACAATCAAACAACAGAAAAAGAAAAAGGAAAAGAAAAAGAAAAAGGTCAGTGTTGAAATTAGGAAATAAAAGCAAACACCTAACTTCAAACTTGGAGGGAATTCTGAAATTCCTGACAAAGGAATTATGAGGTAAAGGAGATAAGGATCCCTCCATATCCCAATTCTGACGTTCAAGAGCTGAAGGCAAAGTCAACATAGAAGAGTAAGAAAAACAGATGGTTTTATCTAAGACTATTTTAATGCTTTGACAAAACAGAGCCACAGACAACTATGTATGTGTAGGAAGTGTCTTGAGTTAGGTCAGAACACACGGGGAAATAGACACACATAGTATGGAGAGTAGATTTTTTAAAAAACTGATATTTTCACCATCGTGTTTTAGGTGTTTATTCAAAATTAGAGGTGGCAAGCAACTTTCATGACAGGAAGATCATCAACTGAATGGGAGACTGTACTCCTCCAATATGGTAGCATGTTCAGTACATCTTCATGGTAGTCCTGGAATATAATCAAACCAGAGTCAAGTAAGATGCTAAAGCTTCTCTCCAGATGCAGGAATTTTTACCAAAATAATAAGTACATACTGCTCTACTGAATCTGTGAGTTCCAAACCCCACCGTCTTTAGGATTCTGAGTGATTAAAACCTAAAAATAAACTAGTCGTATATACCTCTTTTCATGGGCAAAATTCGGTTCCCAAACATTTGTATGTTGAAATCCTGACCCCCAGTACCTCATAATTTGGAGATAGGGACATCAAAGAGGTGATTATGATTAAGTGAGGTCTTTAAAGCAAACCTCAATATAATATGACTGATTTCTCTCTAAAAAGAGGAGCTTAGGACACAGGCACACAGAGGACAGACCACCTGAAGAGGGCGAAGAAGAAAGATGCCTCAGAAGAAACTATGCAGACACCTTGATCTCAGAACTGTGATTAAGAACTGTGATCACAGCTTCCAGAACTGTGAGAAAATAAATTTCTATTTTTTAGGCTACCCAGTCTGTGGTACTTTATCATGGAAGCCTTAGAAAACTAATATACCCCTCCTGCATGAATTCTATGAAAGACTCAACTATACCTAGAAAAAATTAAAAGGGGTTAAATTGATATAAAGTTGTTAGAAAAATATGTTTTGAATATAGTTACCTACATTTAAATATGTATAAATCGGAGAGATGCCATGAAAGAGGTTTCTGAAGAGGTAAGTTAAACATACTGGATATAATTAATACCCATACTTTTTAGAGGCAACAATTAAAAGCTCTAATATCATTGAAAATTAAAGATCTCTTTATTAAATAAATGTGTTCTAGATTATGCCAAACCTTTAGCATTCTATAGATGACCTTTATGTCTAAATAACAAAACTTTAAATGTAATGAAATGAACTTTGGGATTTTACAACTCTCTATTATTTGAAATTTTAGGAGGATTCAGTATTATTACAATATTTTTAATAGTTTATTAAGCTTGTTTTACAAATGGTGCTCCCCTTAACTCCCCTTTCAAACTTCTTTTTTGTCCTCTTTACTGTTACCATTTTTCCAGTCAACTCTTCATTTATTCTCCATAAATAACGTTAAAATAAGCCTACTGGTACAGGTTGGGGTTGGAGATGATAACAATAGATGTGGCATGAAAAAACTTACATACTAAATATCACTGTCCTAAAATTAGACGTCCATTATACATAAATGGGAATTTCCTTATTGCTTTCTTATGCCCTTTGTTTGTCTCACCCTTACCTTGTAGGATAATTTTCTCCAGTACCAAATGCCAGTTTTCCTTCCTCCCCTTACAAGAAAAAAAAAATTCCTGATTATCTCTTATGTAGAGATATTTACGTTTCTTAATGTAAACCTCTTCTACCTGGAATATGCTTAGAAGGCCGCATCTTTCATGCTCAGCTATACCATTATTCCAATATATTTTCTCTTCCTAAAAGGAAGTTATTTTTTCTGCTAAATCAACTGAAGCAGTTGACATACAGTTTGTCCTTTTTTGTCACTTAAATTAATAATGATTAATGAAAAACTAATATAACAATATGAAGTTACCAGGGAATTGGCCGAGATAACAAAAGAATTTAATACCCCAAGTCTTAAACTAAAATATAATGTTTAGAAGTAGTAAATAGCAGAAAGTATAACAGTGATGGGATATTGCCTTGCACATACACTTATAATTCCATTAAAATTCTAAAGAATAAATGAATGACATGAGTAAAAAGAAAAATTAATTCATATGTCAAAAATGCGGTGGTTTATTGTCATATAAAATTAAAAACAAGACACAAAATTCAATTAAAAAATAAACTGTATCAAACAATTATTGTGCTAAAATAGTTTGGTCAAGTAATTGTACATCCATACACAGAAATACTGTGAAGTTATTAACATTGGTACAAAAAAAAGTTTAACATTTAAACTCTTAATACACTTTGCCCACTTGCAGTTAACAATATGGCTCCTGATGGGTGGGAGACTTTTCAGTCATAGTCTTGATCACTCTCTTTTGCTTCACTCCCATTGGGTGATATAGGGACTCGCTCCATTAGGAGATGTTCTTGGTTGGACGTAATCCTTGGCTAAAGGACAGGAAAAGAAGAATTATCTTTCATTGATTTCTACCTGCACCTCATAACTCTAGTATCACCATGATGGTAGTTTTATATATTTTTTCCTTCCCCAGAAGGAGCAGCAAGAGGCAATGGTCTTCCTATGGTAATGTGATAAAGAGAAAAGCTGTCCCATAGCTTGTTCTCTGAACATGGCGGTGAACTTCTGTTACCAGAGGTTTTTGCTTTCCTTCACTCAGTCTTTGACTACTTTCTTTACCCAGCTTTTGAAACTTTTGTCAACTTTTATTTGGCATTCATTCATTCATTTATATCTCCAGATCTGAGCATAGACTGGAAATTAGCTGTTGATATTAGTCTCTATCTTTCCATTTTTTGTGTGTGTCTAGTTTTGCATATATTTGAAATCCAATAGATATTGGTATTTGATGAGGCAAACAAAAAATGAAATTGGAAGATTTGAATAAGCAAAATTTATAGCTAGATCTTCTAAAAGCCAAAGGTAGTCAAAGATAAAATGCTCTACTCTGGAAGGTAGTGGTCTATGTCACTTGACATACTCATGTAGACACTCCAAGGATCATTCAAGAGAAATAGTTTAGAGATTATCTGTGTTAAAATTGCTTCAAGGATTCTATTTATCATTAGATTCTTAAGCATATTTTGGGATGCTTAATCTTGGTATCAATAAAATCACACCTCTACTTTTTTCTCTACAAAAAGCACATTTCCAATGTCATTTGTGTGTTTTTATTTAAGTTACCTTTATCACAAGGCTGAACTTCTGGGTTCCATGTTCTGTTACTCTTTACCCTCTCTACATACTATAAAACTTTCTTTTCTTTTATTATTGCCAATTGTAAGAATTGCAAGTATAATTTCTATAGCAACTACGTATTTATTTTTATGCAAAATATGAAATGTAAAAAACTTTATCATGTATCATAAGTCTTTGTGAAACGTAAAAATAAACTGATGAACAGAATAGATCCAGAGAAATGGAAGCATGGAACAGACTGATGAATCTCAGAGGGAAGGGAGGTGGGTGGGAAGAGATTGAGCAAACAACTTATATAGATATATGCATAACCCATGAACACAGACAATAGTGAGGTGAAGGCCCCAGGGTTGGGTTGTTGCTGGTGCAGGGTGGGAGTCAATAGGAGGAAAATGAGGATATCTTCAATACATTCAAAAATAACGATACATTTAAAAAAACGATAAGGGGTACATATGCAATATTATTGGAAATCTATTAGAGCTGATTAATTTAATAATATCATGAATAGATAAATACATGAAACTTTACCTGTTTTTGCAGTTATCATTCATTTTTTCTAATGCTTTTTAAAATCAGTGCTGTTGGGTATGAGATACTCTTCCATTCTGCTTTGAGTTCAGTGTTTTATATTCTTCATTGTGTTCCTCCTTCATGATTACAGAGAGATAGATTTAGGATTCAAATACATATTTTCAGTTTCATATTTTTGTTCACTACAGCACATTTCTGCAAATGCAGCTCATGTAAACTACTAAGCAGAGTGCAGTGTTTGCTGAGGAGACACACCAAAGGCAATGGGCAGTGGGAACGGTAGCAGCTGAGTTTCTGTTATGACTTACAGAAGCAAGCAGTTATTACCTTTCTTAAGAAATCCTGTAGTAGGAGCTTTACATACATGATTTTCACATAACTATATATTTTTGCAGATAAAGAAAGGAGGCTGTGAAGAAACAGAGGCTGAGGTGTTAAAGAACAATTTCCTCAAATCCCAGAACAATTAAGTTACAAAGTAATGTTCTAAATGCTATTGTCACATGAGATTCAAATTCATACTCAGATCCTGGTTTTACCACTAGTTGTGCAAATTTATTCATGATGCTTAACTTCTCTAAGCTTCAGTTAAACAGAAATAACATATTACGATTATTCTGATGATTAAGTGACAATGAAAAAAAAGTGTTTAGCAAATGGCTAGTGCACTGTAAATATTAGTTGATTTTGCTGCTGCTGTTATTTCAGTTTAAAACGACTTTGTAGATTAAGCATCTGAGTAATGACTTGAAATACATAATATTGAAATATTTTTGGATTTTGCCATTGCTTTTAAATATTTTGCTGATTTTAAAGTAATGTGGTACATGACTTCTTACTTAGTGGATGATTTATAACTTTTCTGTCTCTTTTCATTGATTGCTATTTTTTTTTAACAGACTTGATACCTCATAGAAACAAGGTTGAATAGATAGATATCAAGTAGTTATACTTATTTTAAATATATCTATAATATTTTTAATTTGGAAAGTGTGTTTTATTATCATCGATGTGTCTGGTATGAAATTAGGAACACAGATACAAAAATAGGTTTCTTAAGTTTTTACTACAATTCAATTAACAAGTAAATAAATGAAATTTTTAATCAACTTTATTTTCATATTTATTTGCACTTTAAGAATGTGAAGTAGCGTATACAATGTAATGACATAAAAATTTTTAATGAAATCACATTAACTGCAATATTGAAAATATGTTTATGAAATATTTTATTATTTCCCAGGAAGTATATATGCTTTTTAGCAATTTAATATTTTATAGCATAATAATATGAGAAATAGGTATATTAAAATATGGTATAACAAATAGATTATAAGTATTTATTTCTCTCTACGTGATGTAAGTCCTACTGAAAAGCACAAATAAAGCTTAATTAGTACATGGGTGGATAAAGGGGACTCAGCCTGTTTTTTTAAGAAGTAAAAAAAGGATAATTTATGGCAATTATCCAGTAATCTAGATTTATTAATATCCCTATAACTTCTAGTTCCTCTATTATATACAAGAAGATGCTTCTGGGAAAAATGATGTGAATATCTCCTCTCAGTTATATAACCTAATTATAATCATAATGGAAAATCTTTTTCATGCAAATAAGTGCACTATTTTAAGTTTATTTTTAGTGCCATTAATAAAAGAATGTTCATAAGTCTACAAAACTGGACTGGTATTCATTTAAGGACATTTTAACTTATTGCAAAAGTGAATGCATAGCTCACAAAGAGTGGACTGAGGCTATTTTGATGAGATTTGTGTACCTAGTAGACCAGAATCATATAGGAACTAGTGATGGATTCTTATATGCTATCCTACCATTAAACATTATTAAAATTAGCAAAATTAAAATTTAGTACATACTATAGACCTTGAATAATAAAATCTTGAAAACTCTTGCCAAGTTTCTCTTATACTTCTGGTAGGACCTTTATAAATGCCCTTTATCTGAGAATCTTGTCTTCTTTGTTTTCCCATGTCATGTTCTCAATGACTTCTGTGCTATTTGGACTCTTCTTTTCATATAACTTTCTCTAAATGATAGAACAGTGTAGAGGCATAATTAATGTTTGTGACTGGCAATAAGCTCATAGCCCATGTTAAAGGCAGAAACATTTACATTTCCAAAATATTTCTCATTTCTATTCTATTCCAAACTTGATGAACTTGGGGTATTGATGATTACTTTACCTAAACACTGCCGAGGTCCAGCCCCAGTGGGCCAGGGGTTCCCAAAGGTGTGGACAGAGTCGGCAAAGAATGATTTACATGGAGACAGCATTCAGATGATCAGCATAGCTCTCTTTAGTCTCCGTGGATCTTCCTGTGCCTGGCTGAGGCCACAGAGAAAGATCCAGAGGCAAGCTGAGCCTTTATTTTATAGTCAGAGGTAAACAAGGTAGTGGTTACCATAGTTACACTGTTCCTGTGAGTTTCACTTGTTTTGGCAGCACTTCCTGCACCTCCCTCAGCCCATTAGCTTCCCAGATAAGATCTAGGGAGCATCATAAGGTCAAGCCTAATTATGCTAAGAGGACTGTGCCCTCTAAGCTGGGACTTGTTTGTGACTTTGCCAACAGGTTAGTCAGAGGCTTCACCCTATAGCCACGCCCCACAAAACAATGTTTGCTACTTTCAAATGTTCGCTACCATAGCAGTATCTGCACAATCTAACCATCATCTCAATTTAGTAAAAACAAATTATTGCCTGTAGAATTCTGGAATTCAAAGCACATTTCATTCCAGTATTTATTCTGTGTAATGACTTTTATATATAGGTTACATATAGGGTGAAAGTCATTGGATTTACAAAATGTTCTAATAACCATACATTTAAAAAAAATTAAGGATATCCATGAGTGGTGAATATTTTATAGATATTGGCAAAAATTAACATAAAACGCTGAAGAAACAATTGAGACATTTGGTTAAAATGCTGAAGAAACAATTGAGACATTTGGTTGCATACACACACACACACACACACACACACACACACACACGAATATTATGGTCACCTTGATCCTCTAGAAAAATCACTGCATTTCGTGAACTAGTAATTTAAATTATGTAAGCTTCAAAATATATACATTCTAATTATTGAAAGTAATTTAATTGCATGTCTAATAATACAGATTTGTCAATGCTGTTGTTAAAATCTTGCTATTTATATTTTTCTTTTCCTTATGTATCAATTAGTAGAAAAGTATGTTAAATTATGTTGTCTTCCAAGGAGTAATGTTTATGGAATTAAAAATTTGGTAATATCTAAAGGTTCATATAATTTAGAAGATCAGTGTATATATTGAGCATAATGTGACTTTTGTATTCTCTTACTTAAGACAGTGTTCTTACAAAGTATTAAAATTAATCAGTTATTTCATCTTTTATGACACTCACGTGAACATTTTTCTTTAAAATATATGATATTAACAATATCACACAAACACAAGGAGACAGACACACATACACTTACATATAGAAGAGGGGGAAAAAAGACATTTTGCAAATATCCATACCTTTACTGATGATGAGTCATATTGTGGTATATTCATAGAATGTTATAATATCAGAAATTACTAAATAATAATCCACTGTACCATTTTGTTTCCACATAAGGAGTCCAGGGGTCTCACATTTTCTTTCAGAACCTATTCATTTCTAAATTCAAGATTTGATTCAATTTTATGATATTTCTTCTGTGATTTTAGTCACATTTGAATATCTTTAATAATCACTGCAAATGATTTAATCATATTCTCTGGTCAACAAGTCTCCAAAATTAGCAATTCTTTAACATCTGTATTTTATTTTTATAATTCTAAGTTTTACTCAATGGAAAATTAACTAGTAAAACTGGAAAAATATCTTCCACATACAAATTTTGTGATGAAAAGTCTAAACTGAGAATTGAAACATACGGCAGGGTTATTGAATAGAAGGTTGTTCTGAACATACTAGATCTCTACCTTAGAATTAATCCCCTATCCTTTTCACCTCCCCTTTTGGCCTTGATATTAAGGAAATATTAGAGGCTTCATCTAGAGCAGTGGTTCTCAACCTTCCTAATGCCGCGACCCTTTAATACAGTTCCTCATGTTGTGGTGACCCCCAACCATAAAATTATTTTCGTTGCTACTTCATAACTGTAATTTTGCTACTGTTATGAATCGTAATGTAAATATCTGATATGCAGGATGTATTTTCATTGTTACAAATTGAACTAAATTAAGGGATAGTGATTAATCACAAAAACAATATGTAATTATATATGTGTTTTGCTATGGTCTTAGGTGACCCCTGTGAAACGGTCATGCGACCCACAGGTTGAGAACCGCTGATCTGGAGTTTTAGACAACCAATCAGATCTGTTGCTTAGTGTTATGCATGAAGAAAATGTTTGCAAATAACTATAAGAGAATTAGACATACTTTTTGAAAAATATGTTAATTCATCTTTTTGGAAGATTTTAAATTGTTTTATTATAACATTTTATTTTAATGGCCAAAAGCCTATATGTCATATGAGTTGTAATATTATTTTCTTTAATCATTTCCAGGTATTTATAAATCAAATTCATAACCCAATTTGATTAATAAAATAGAGGTTTGGGAAAAAAAGCCAACATCCTTTGCCATAGGTCAGGTCCAAACTGATGAGTAAAGTCATTTTTAGGGGCTCCTAGTAGCCTTACAGATGAATTGAGTACCTTAGATCAGAAATTAGAACTACATGTGAAGACTCAGAAAACTTCACCAGTACTTTTAACCTGGATTTTGAAGAAGATAAAATTCTTAATTGTCCTTAAGTGGTGGGAAATAACAAAAAATTTACTTACTTATGCTGGTTTGTAAATAGGAAGATTATAAAGCTGGATAGTATAACTTCCAAGGTGAACTATTTGAGATGGAGAAACCTTGTCAAATAAAATTGGGCCATATCCGTATGTGATAAATAGCAATTTCAGAATTAGTCTTATGGATAGTACTCTGTGAGCTTTATTTCCTTTCAAATGTTAAAAAAATAACTCTTGTTTCTGAGCTGAAAAGGAAACAATTTGAGAATATTTTAAGTCTGTAAAGTTCAGGAGGATAGCATTTCCATATTGTTTACCTGTCTTACTCTATGAGCACTCCAGCTTCAAATTTACTAGTATATCTAATTCTATACCACATTCTAGAGAGAAAGAAAACTACTTATCTCAGTCCAAGTAAGTCATTATTTTCACTAAGTCCTCCAAACTGTATTTATTCATTTACCTGACATAAGATTAATGTGTATATACTACATGTTTGAAATAGTTCTGTACACTGAAGATATAACAGTAAATAAGTCACATAATTATCCCCCAGGTAGAGCTTTTATTCTTTTGGGGGAGACAGACAAAATGCAATGATGATTTAGATTAGACAGATAGGTAGTTGGGGATAAATTAGGTTAGAGATTATATAGATAAATAGATTCAGACAGGCAGGCAGACAGTGGTTGTATAGGTTGCATAGAAGAATAAAACATGTAGAGAATAGAAGTGGCTGGGTAATAGGGAAATAAACAGAGAGAGAATAGGCAGTGAAATATGTCTGGATCAAAATAGACCACATACCTCAGTGTAAAATGCACAGTCATAAAACTCCTAGAAGAAAACATAGTAGCAAGTCTAAATGACCTTGGTTTGAGTGATGACTTTTTAGATACAACACCTAAGGCAAATCCATGTAAGAAAGAACTGATAAACAAGACAAAGACAGTCTCTTCAATAAATGGTGTTGGGAAAATTGGACAGATATATGCAAAAAAATGAAACTAGACCACCAACTTACACCATACACAAACATAAACTCAAAATGGATAAAGGACTTAAACATAAGATGGGAAACCATAAAAATATTAGAGGAATCCACAGGCAGCAAAATCTCAGATGTATGCCGAAGCAATTTCTTCACCAATATAGCTCCTAGGGCAGTGGAAACTAGAGAAAATAAAGAAATGGGACTACATCAAAATAAAAAGCTTTTGCACAGCAAAAGAAACCATCAACAAAACAACAAAAAAGCCCACTGCATGGGAGAACATATTTGCCAATGTTGATAAAGGCTTAATCTCCAGCATTTACAGGGAACTCATACAACTTAACAGGAAGATAAACAACCAAATCAAAAAATGGGCAACGGACCTAAGTAGATACTTTTTAAAAGAAGACAGAAGGAAGGCCAAGGGGCATATGAAAACATGCTCCAAGTCACTATATTCTGAGAGATGCAAATCAAAACGACAATGCGGTACCATCTCACACCTGTCAGAATGGCTATCATCAACATATCAACAAATGGCAAGTGCTGACAAGGATGTGGAGAAAAAGAACACTCATGCACTGCCAGTGGGAATGCAGGCTGGTGTAGCCACTGTGGAGAACAGTATGGAGTTTCCTCAAAAAAACTAAAAATGGAACTCCCGTTTGATCCAGTGATCCCACTTCTAGGAATATATCCCAAGAAATTAGAAACACCAATCAGGAAGCATATATGCACCCCCATGTTCATAGCAGCACAATTTACCATAGCTAAGATTTGGAAACAGCCTAATTGCCCATCAGTAGATGAGTGGATTAAAAAAACTGGTACATCTACACAATGGAATACTACGCTGCAGTAAAAAAGAAGGAATTCTTACCATTTACAACAGCATGGATGTAACAGGAGAGCATTATGCTAAGTGAAATAAGCCAGTCAGAGAAAGATAAATATCACATGGTATCACTCATTTATGGAATATAATGAACAACATAAACTGATGAACAAAAACAGAGACAGAGAAGCATTGAACAGACCATCAAACCTCAGTGGGAAGATAGAGGAGGGTGGGGGTAAGCGGGAGAGATCAACCAAAGGACTTGTATGCATGCATATAAGCCTAACCAATGGACACAGACACCAGGGGGGTGAGGGGATGAGTGGGGGGTGGGGGGGCAGTGGGGGATAAGGACACAAACGTAATACCTTAATCAATAAAGTAAAAAAATTTAAAAAATAACAGCTCTACCCTAAATAGTTAACAATATTGTAATAACTATGTATGGTGCAAGGTGGGTACTTGAATTATTGGAGGGAACACTTTTTAAACTCTACATCCTGGGAGCGGCGTAGCTAGGACAGTCTGTATGTCTATCTGCTGTGCTAGACACTTGAAACTAATATAAAATAATGTTAAATGCAAACTAATCAAAACAGAAAACTGATCTTTATATTTATTTTTAAAATTACAGTTGACATACAATATAACATTAGTTTCAGTTGTACAATATAGCAATTAGATATTGATATGCCTTATGAAGTGATCACACATAAGTCTAGTACCTACCAGACACCATACATAGTTACAGTATCACTGACTATATTCCCTATGCTGAATGTTACAATCCCATGACTTATTTTATAACCAGTAATTTGTACCTGTTTCCTTCCTTTTCAACTGCACTGTCTTTCCAAGATAAACCATCTGGCCCTAAAACTAAAAAAAAAAAAAAGACTTCAGTAAAGTTTGATCTGTGAAAGACTATCTAGAGCAGTGGTTCTCAACCTTGGCTACACATTAGAATCACCTGGGAATCTTTTTAAAATCCTGATTTCTGGGCCTCATCCTCCAGAAATTCTGTTTCTTTGTTATGGGGTGGGGCCACAACATTAGTAACAAAGAAACAGAATTTCCGGAGGATGAGGTCCAGAAACCAGGAGTTTAAAAAGATTCCCAGGTGATTCTAATGTGCAGCCAAGGTTAAGAACCACTGATCTAGAGAATAAAGACAAGCCACAGACTGGGAGAAAATATTTACAAAAATATTTCTGATAAAGGACTATATCCATAGAACCCTCAGCCATTGCTAGTGGTAATACAAAATGGTATAACCACTGTAAAGTTTGGAGATTTCTTTTGTATGGTGTGTATGTTTGTATGCATGTGTGTATATTTGTATATGTATGTATATATGTGTGTATATATTTGTATGTATTTTTTACATAAAAAAGCTATACATATTTAACATACACAATTGATGACTCGATGAGTTTGGAAATAAATATATACCTGTGAAACATTCCCTCCAATCTATGCCATAAATATACCTGTATTCTCCATTTAGGCTGCTTTTGGTGTTTCCAAGTAAGATAATGGCCAATAGCACTTCTAGTTTGGAAGTGGTAGAAATGGAATGAAGTATAACAATTCAGATATTTCGGAGGTAGTCAAGTAGGACTTACTAAAAGATAAGCAGAGTGAAGAAAAAATAATAATTATGAATGGCCCACCAATTTTGGATTGAGTCACAAGTTTGATGTTAGTTTCATTTGCTGAGCTGGTGAAAACTTGGGGGAAACCAGGCTTTGATGGAGGGGTATTGTCTCTTTGTGACAGGTTAATTTTGAGATGGCTTGGGAGACAGTCGGATAGTTGCTTTAATTTCACATTTGGACATATGAATTTGGAGCTGAGTGGATAAGTCAGTGCTGGCTTTAAAACAGGATTCGACAGCATAGGAATGGAGTATAAAGAGAAAGGAATGGATGGAATAACTAGAGAAATATATACAGAGAAAAGAGAAGAGGGGCTACAATCAAAAGACAATGCTATTGGAATTGGGTACATGGAAGTTCTTGGTGACTAGTGCATTTCAGTAGAATGGTAAAGGCAGAAACTCAATTGTTTTTTCACTGAGTTACACTTTAATCTGAAATATGACTTTTGAATATCATGTTAGAGAATAATCTTAAGGGCTTTTTTTTAGAGAGAGCGATAAAGGAGATTTCAAATGATTCCCTAAATCCTCAGGGAGGTGCTAACATTTCCACAGAAGGTTGAAAATCTGAATATAGAATTGTATTATAAGCAGATGGAGAATGAATAGTTTCCTGGAAAAGGTAAAGAACAGTGGGGCAGGATTTGACTCTGTTTTTACAGCTCTGACTGCTGACTCTGTCAATCAGCAAGGTAGGGCCTTGTGGAAAACCATGAGATACAATAGTCATTAATTCTTGGTAGTTGATGCAGCGGGACAGAGACTGAGGCTTAAAGAGCAGGCAAAACCATTACCCCTCACGAAAGCTAGCTTTGGAGAGTATGTGGGATAGGAGTCCCTTTCTATCTAAGGGGTTGCATTTGTTGTTGCTTTTTATTTTTCTTCACGTTAATAGGACTTATGGTCACAAGAGAGTTTAATATTGTTATGAAGATATAAAGTTAACATCTAAATAATATGTAGATATTTCCCCCATTAGACTCTATTCTGCTTAATTTGGTTTTCTATACATATTTAGCAATTTATCAGTAATTTATTTAACATACCTCCTTTAAATCTATTCACATTGGTAATTTGTACAATAATGATGTCATTTCTTCTTTAAATGGAGATCATTTGGCCACCATTTTCTATTTAAAAAGAAAAACACCTCATGATAAGTAATTGTTGAAGTTATCATATAACATTGGCCAGTTTTCTCCCTCATGAAAAATAATTCTACTTTTCTTAACCTTCCCATGGGCACTTTAAAATCTTCATTTATTGGTGTTTTCACCAAATTTTTCTAATACTGAGAAAGCCTAACCTTGATAAAATTCTAGTTCAAAACCTAGCCAGCAGATTACAGAATTTATAAAAATGGTATCAATTTATACCTATAAATTAGATCTTTTATTTAATTTCAGTTTGCTTAAAATAAAATAAAATAAACTTACCAAATGTGTTTACTTGGCTTGGAAGTGGAACATTCAACATTCATAAACCTGGTTGTGGCTATTTATACTTCAGAGACGGTAATATAGTTTCACAAGAAAGAATTTTTTTTCTTTTTCTTTCTTTTTTTTTGAGGAATGCTACCTTTAATTTATATTTATATTTATTTGAAAGTAGACACTCTGAAATTTGACTTTCTCTTATGTTCCCTATGATTCTTAATTGAAACTGTGGATATGACTTCAAACTGTTTGAATCTTTGGGTTCAATATCTTCATTCTTGAATGTATCAAAGCCTTCATCGATTTTTTTCTTTTGCATATTCATACAGTATCATTAACTTCTACATCTTCACTTGTATGTTATTCGAATCTTTCTAGGTATCTTTCATTTAAGCCTTCATATCCCCAAATTTAGCATAAGCATAAGCATCCTTCAATGAATCATCTATTAAGTTTTTCTTAACATCTTTACACTTTATGAAGATTTTCTGAGTCTTTCTTTGTATTGTTCTTCACCCCATTTTAAAGGTATTTGATCAAATACTCAAACCGCTCCCTCTTCATAAATTCAGTTTCAGATTACTAAACTGTTTCAGTAAATATGCTTTTGAATGATTATCCAGGGCCTACTTGCCCTTCTTTCCCTCCTTTTTTGCATCACCAGATTCTGTCTCAGTCTCTCCCTTGGCATCTTTCTCACCTTCTTTGCCTTCTTTCTTTCCTTCTTTCTTGCCTTCTTTCTTGGTTGTTTTCTTTCTTTCTTTCTTGCCTTCTTTTTTGTCTTTTGATTCATCCTCTTTTTCATTGGATCTCTTTGCATCTGTTGTTTCATCTCCAGGTTCTTCAGTTGGCTCCTTGTGCTTCTTTGAACCCCTATCTTTTTTGGAACCTCTCTTCAGCAATTCTTTTTCCTCTCCTGGTTCTTCAGCTACTAACTCCTTGTCTTTCTGTGAACCTTTCTTTTCTTTTTTTGAACCTTTCTTCAGTTCTCCCTTTTCCTCTTCTGATTCTGCATCTGACCCCTTGCCCTTCTTTATAGTTTTCCTTTTTTTTAAACCTTTCTTCAGTTCTCCTTTTTCCTCTTCTGACTCTGCATCTGACCCCTTGTCCTTCTTTGAAACTTTCTTTTCTTTTTTTGAACCTTTCTTCAGTTCTCCTTTTACCTCTTCTGACTCTGCATCTGACCCCTTGTCCTTCTTTGAAACTTTCTTTTCTTTTTTTGAACCTTTCTTCAGTTCTCCTTTTACTTCTTCTGACTCTGCATCTGACCCCTTGTCCTTCTTTGAAACTTTCTTTTCTTTTTTTGAACCTTTCTTCAGTTCTCCTTTTACCTCTTCTGACTCTGCATCTGACCCCTTGTCCTTCTTTGAAACTTTCTTTTCTTTTTTTGAACCTTTCTTCAGTTCTCCTTTTTCCTCTTCTGATTCTGCATCTGACCCCCTGCCCTTCTTCGAGCCTTTCTTATCTTTTTTTGTATCTTTCTTTGTGTCTCCCTTTTCAGCTTCTAATTCTGTAGTTGAGTCTATGATCTTTATTGACTTTTTCTCTTTTTTGGTACCTGGTGTTTTTGTTTCTAAATGCTTGTCTTTTTTTGAATCTTTCCTAGTTATTTTGGGCTCATGTGAAACTGCGGATTCAGTTTCTGACTCTGATGCGGCCTTCTTGTCTTTAGCTGCTGCTGCATCTGGGCCACGAGTTGGAGGCCGTCGCCTGGCAGCTAAATAGACAGATGGTCTTTCCGAAATTAGCATTAAAGAACGGTGCATCCATAATGGTCGTTGAGAACCTCCCTTTAATTTGTCTTCATCAGGTTTCTGCAGTATTGGTTAGAATAATGATAAATAGCTTATATTAGTTTCACAGCCTTTATAACCAGATACCAAATACATTTAACTTCACTCATGAAAAAATTTTAGATCTTAGTGAGTATCAGATAAATTGTAGATTTTATAGTTTATTCTGAGTTTATAATGTCATTCTTTTTTGAATGGGTAGTCATGTCTCATTTTGGATCTAATTTCAATGTAGAGTATCTTTATAACTCCTGCAAGGTTGTAAGTTAAAAGTGGTACAGACCTTCACTCGCTAATGACATACTAGACCCTCTCTCTACAAGCAGGAGAGGGCTTGTTTGTTCTTTGACTCTGTGTTTTTGAGATCTTTTAAAGATCTTGCCTAGCCTCCATTTTGAGGTTAACTCAGAAACTAAATATTTTTTAATACCTAATAGTTTTGTTTTCAGGCAGATCATGATCTCTATTGCTACCTTCAAGGTCTCTAGAATTTACAGTGCTAACTGTGCTTAACAGTAAAAGCCTGACATGCCTCCTACATGGCAAGATAAAAATTGAGTATCATCAGATAGGAAACTGCAACAATGAAAGCTGTACCATGCAGTGCACATTCATTTGTTCAGAATGGTGCATTTTGTTTTCAACTTGTAATCAAATATTTGCAAAAGCTTAATTGCAAAAAAAATGGAAGGAATGCTAACAAACACTGGAAAAATAAATTGAATAAAGGAAGAAAAGAAAACAAACACAGAAGAAACCTGGATCACTGTAGCTTGGATACATTTCCAAAAATAAACAAGAATTGATGATATATTTATCTTGTAAAAATTTTCTGTCAACATTTTTATATTCCATGATGACTCCGGAAACCTTATGAGATATTTATGTTCCAAAATTCAGAATCCTGAATTCTATATTACAGGAAATGAGGAAACATTGAAACGTCACCATAGTATAATGATTCTGAGGGAATCTTTCCAGCAGGGTAGTATTTTCTGAATGTTCATACTAATTGTAGCAGGATATACAGATTTCTGTCATTTTGGATACCTGTTTTCTGTAATGTAGGTTTACTGAACAAATGGTTAATATGGAATAAGGGGGAACTTTTGTACAGTGAAATGCTAATAAATATATCCACTGTCTCCAAATAGAATTTGAATTACATTTAACTATATTGTGTAATGACATCTAAAAGACACATGTGAGTTTAATTGAATTGAAATGTAAAATTTAGTTCCTTAGTTACCCTACCCCAGTGGTCGGCAAACTCATTAGTCAACAGAGCCAAATATCAGCAGTACAATGATTGAAATTTCTTTTGAGAGCCAAATTTTTTAAACTTAAACTATATAGGTAGGTACATTGTTATTATCTTAATTAGGGTACTCCTAAGGCTTAGGAAGAGCCACACTCAAGGGGCCAAAGAGCCGCATGTGGCTTGTGAGCCACAGTTTGCCGACCACGGCCCTAGCCTATTTGAAGTATTAAATAGCCACAAAGGAAGGTAAATATATAAAATATTTCCATCATCACATAAATCTCATTAGCCAGTGATGATCTGTAAGACATATTACTCTATATGCTTTCACAAGGTTATTACTAGTGATACTTTTTTAAATACTCACTAAAGCTGCCTTGTCTTGTAGTTGGGAAGGTCTTGATCTCACTTTTTTTCCTGGCCGCGGTGGTTTGGGAAATGCCAGGGAAAAGTGTTGCTGATTCCATGATTTTTTACTTAATTCACTGACTAAAATAAGAAAGCATTAAACATAAACTTTAGAATAAATAGCATTTCATTAAAACTAATATGACATTAAGATATTGCATTTCATGTAAATGAAGAAACAAATAATTAAAATAATGTCTTCATTTATTTGATAGTGTTTGAAATCCTCTACTATTAATATGAGAAAATAAAATTTATTTTCTATTTTTCTCACTTTTACAGAAAACTATGTAAAATAACGATTGTGAAACTGCAGTAAGATAAATGGAAATAAACCATTTTACTACTTTCTTTTAGTCTTCTAGTACAGTCTAGATTTTGACTTTATATTCTTTTAGTTAGAGCACAATTCTACTGAGAACAGAAAATATGGTAACTACTTCTGTTTCCTTCAAAGTAATTAGTGCAGTGCCTGTTATAAAATGTTCAGGAAATACATGATTGAATCTAAATGCTAATGCTTTAGATCAGCGATTTTCAACTGGTGTGCCATAGCAGGCACAATAGTGTGCTGCAAGAATTTTTAAAACATGCAATACCTGACTATATAGTCAGGGGCACTGACCTCTTTTTCCTTAGATTGCCAAATAAAAATATGACAACAGCCAACATAACAATCGTCATTTGGTGTGAATGAATAAAAATTAAACCTTTTTCTGGTCAGATCAGCAAACAATATATTATATAAGCAATGAGATGAAAATGGTTGAAAATCACTGCTTTAGATCTCCTTAGTAATCGTTTTCCAAGCTACAAAAGTAAATTTTATTATACCCCAAAACTGCATTGTTATAGGGGGCATGTTAATGAAGAAATTGACAAATAAAGACTACCTGCAGTATTGTGACTGGGAGGATATAGTCACCTGCAAACTATAATAGAAATAGTTAAAGGTTACCAATGAGATAAGTGAGAGAGAGAGCCTCACTGTATTTGAATATGTGCAGCAATATTATGTGTAAGTGAAAACAGACTTGTCCTGTGAATCTCCTAAAGACAGAGCAGGATCAATGAGAAAATATGCAGAATGAAAGGCATAATTAAGATCAATATATGAGGAAAAACCACTTGATGTAAGAAGTCTTCCAACACAAGGTTGACTGGCTTTGTCAATTAATGAATTTTTTGTCAATTTTAACCCTAATAACATCTATCAAAAATGTAGTAGAAGACATTTCTGACATGAGTGAAAACTTGCTTATTCAGTTTTCTACACTGCCTTTTAATTGTGAGATTATCTGATTACATGATTTCTAATATGTACATCTATCCACCTTCATATTGCTATACATATTTGCTTAATCTACTTTGGATTTAGGACAAAATATCTTTAGAAGGTATTCACGGAGCCCTTGAAAAAGGTGGTTGGGGATAAAAAGTTAATTTTTAATAATATTCCATGACAGCTATTGCTTTATCACTTTGAATGGAGGATAATTCCTTATGCCTAAATTAATCATACATGTTTTAAAATATATATATATTGAACTTTTTCTTACCTGGGATGTAATTATCATATGACCCATAGTTTAGTTTTTGGCTATTAAAATAAGAGGGAAAGATTTCAGTTAATTTATAGAAAAATCACTCTATTTTATGGTCATTATTATGCTTAAGCACTTGCCTCCACCAACTAGAGAAATACTTTGCATTCTCAGATCTCTATTGTTAGGTAAGATTATTTGATCCCAGAAAAACAGAGATGAGAATATTTTTTTTTTGGACAAACTTCAACAGAGCTAAAACAACAGGAATAAAGCATAAGGGAAAAAAAAATCTATCAACTTTTCATATATAAAATACAGACATTTTTAAAATTGTGAAACCATCATTGAATTCGTTTTCTCACCTCATGCTCCAAAATTACTTGCAATTGAATTTTAACTTAGACAGCACTTTGAAAACACTACGCTTAACTAAAATCAGCTCCTCATAATATCTTCAGAACTGAACTAAATCAAGATCATTCAATGTCTACGTGTCTGTGAATGTGTGTGTGTGCATGTGTGTGAGTTAGTGTGCACCACAGTATTGACCTGGATTTTGATTTTTCATCTGTTCTCTAAAAAAATCTGAGAAAATTATGTTGCAAAGTATTTTACATCTATAAGTTTCCATTTATTATAGTACTATAATTGCATATGTCTAAAAAAAGTACATTTGTAGTCTAATTTTAATATATTTGTAATGGAGGCAAATATTTTTATTTATCAGATAAATATTATTCTGCATCTTCCCATCATACTATAGAAATAGAGTCATTGTTGATTATGAGTGGGTATGGTCTTACACACACACACATGCACACGCATGCTTACTTTTAACTACATTAAAGCTCTAGCTCCCAGCATAAAACCTGTCACATTTCAAATATACTAATGTGGCACTCCTCTAAAAATTAAGGTATATACTATACTAATTAAAACGCATGTGTCCAAAAAAAAAAGAGACATAATTGAAAGGTTTTCTTCCCCTATCTCATTTAAAGTGTTAAAAAAATTATTTATTTGCATTTCAAAACTCATTCTTTAAAAATGTTGAATAAAATAATTGAATACAATTTAGGATGTGTTGACTAATTATCTGGTCTGGTGGGGGGTTGTTTGTTTGCTTTTTTAGTTTTGTTTCTTTTTTATCTGAGGACATGCATTAAAACTACTTGCCCCTCTATATCTGAATCTCTAGGTTTGGATCTAACCAATGTATACTTATACAATGCTGAAGAAATTTTGAAGTCCAAACATGGTTATGAACTTCTTTTCTCTGAAAGAGGAAATATTTCAGGTTTATGAAATAATATTGTTAAATTTGATATTTTAAAATATACATAGGCATTGTCCATTAATTCCCTGTATAATATATAGGACATATTCTTTGATCACCAAGAACTTGAATTAAAAGTCAATAACAAAAATATATAGAAAATATACAGAAATTGGATACAGTAAAGAAGGCTGAATAGAAGAAAATTTGATTCATCTGAAATATGGTGTTGGAGGAGAGCTTTTACAGATCCTTTGGACTGCCAAAAAGACAATCAAGTGAGTCCTAGACCAAATGAAGCTTAAAACCATTGCAGAAGTTTACTGTCTGACATGTAAGGTTGATTTAATATATATATATATATATATATATATATATATATATATATATATATAATCAACCATTGCAATCATTCTAACAAACAAGAATTTATTTGATTATCTCAAGACATGTAGAATAATTTTTGAAATAAAAAGTAACATTTCCATTCATAATCAAAAACTCTAAGAAAACTAGGAATAGCAGGCATCTTCCTTAAATGGATAAAATGTGTTCATATAATACTATTAAAATAAAATTGAATGGTGGAATATTGACTGTTTTTCCTCTATAGATCAGAAACAAGGCAAGGATGCTTACTGCTATTCAACATTGTAATCCAGACCCTATTTTGTTTCATAAGGTAATAAAAGCATCAGAATTGGAGATGAAGAAGTAAAATTATTTTTATTTACAAAAGACATGATTGAGCAAATAGACTATACAATCACATCTACAAATATTATTTTTAGAGCTCTTATGGCAATGTTATCTATACTAATAATAGAGGAATATGCATATTGATAGGGATACCCTCATGCAATGACTGAACAGCAGGCTGCGTGGGGTGATAGGCCGGCAGGGGGGGCAGTGAGGGGTGACCAGGCTGGCAGCGGGGGAAGTTAGGGGTGATTAGGCTGGCAGGCAGAGGCAGTTAGGGGTGATCAGGCCGGCAGGCAGAGATGGTTAGGAGCCAGCAGTCCCGGATTGTGAGAGGGATGTCCGACTGCCGGTTTAGGCCCGATGCGATCGGGCCTAAACTGGCAGTCGGACATCCCTCGAGGGGTCCTGGATTGGAGAGGGTGCAGGCTGGGATGAGGGAACCCCCCCTGCCTTGCACGAATTTTGTGCATCGGGCCTCCAGTAAAATTATATGATACTAGGGGCCCAATGCATGAAATTCGTGCAAGAGTAGGCCTTCTTTCCCTGGCTGCCGGCACCGGCTTCCCTCGCAGCCCCAGCTTCATCCAGTCTAATTAGCATATTACACTTTTCTTACTATAAACAAGGACTAATTATATAAACTGCATCTCTATAACTAGAGAAATGGCAAGATATAAATATAAGAAAACAATACAATTTGCAATAACTTAAAGATATTTAGAGATAAGTTTATTGAAATATGTAAGACCTGTATAGGAAAACTAATTTTTTTTTCCTCAGGGACAAATATATTCTGATTAGAAGATCCCCTTTATACTCACTAGAGCAGGTAAAATAAAAGATTAATTATACCAACTGTCAGCAACTCTGTAAGCATCTGACATATTCATCATTGGTGGTAGGTATAAAAATGGCACAACATCTTTTCAATACCATTTGATATTTTTAAAGTTCAACTTACACATGTTCTATGTATGATTTAGTATTTCCATTAGTAGTTTACCCATGAGGTCTACAAAAAGAATTGGACAAAATATGGGTAGCAGCTTTATTCATAATGACCTAAAACTAGAGTAACCCTAATATTCATCAGTTGGAGAATGCGTAAACTGTGATATGTTCATGTAATGAAATACTTCCTAGCAATCTAAGGGAATGGATTACTGATATATGCAAACATGGCAACATGGATGAATCCAAAAGTAACATTATACTGAGAGAAAATATCAGGAACATAAAAGTATATACTATATGATTTAATTTCTATGATTTTAAGAATAGGAAATACTGTTTCTGGTAACATAACAGCTATCTGTGGGAGAAGGGCAGAGTGGATTGATGGGAAACTGGCACAATTTAACCTAATGGTGTGGGGGAAAATTTATATTTCTTAAGATAGGGTTAGTGACAATTCAATAAATTTAGATCGCTTTCATTTTTAATGAGAAGAGCTTATAGGATGCCCAAATAACAATTATTCAAATACCTTAGTGTAAATTTACTGATGCAATATGCAATTAAATCAATTCAATCTTTTTGAACTAGAGAGCATTTTCCTACTTTTTCCTTTAAGTCTGGTTCTTCCGGTAGCAGCATCTCTCCCTTGCTTCCCTGGGACATTCAAGAAAATTTCTAGAACCAGAATGCATTTAGATTCATTTTTTGAAGTTTGTTATTAAAAAGAACTCTTAGTGTATCTTTTTATTTTGAAATCATTTTTATATAAATATATATTTATTTGCACCCTTTAAAAATAAGGCCCTCATGACTTTGAAGATGGTCTAATTTAATTACTTGCTCCAAAAAAGAAGAAAAAACTGCAGCGATTATGTCAATACAACTAGTTCTTGAATTAAGGTCTCTGGACATATATAAGTAAACAAATAGCTAATGTTTCATCTTAAACAAAATGGAATGGCATGCACAAGCCACAAGTCTGCCTTCATTTCAGGTCCACACATTCAATCATTTCAAGATGTCTCAGTATCTGTGAGCTTTTGTAAGTAATGAACATATTCATTGTCAGCTTTCTCAAATGTACTGTGTTCATGACTTAGGACGGGAATCTAGATTTTGGTTTTCCTAAGTAAATAGTTGAGATCCCAACGTAGGAGACATGAGGAACTTTATCACTTACTAATGAAAACAGTTTTTTTAAGGAGTAAACATTTAATTAACCACCTTTGTTTTTGTTTTTAGTCTGAAAAATGTCAATCTAAGTACAACATACACCTATATTTACTCTTGCCTTTGAGGATATCCCTGTATAGTTTTTAAAAGTGTGTAATAAATTCAAAGGACAAGGGCTTTCATTAATGTGATATTTTCTGCAGTTTCATTTGAAATGCTCACAATATATATCTGAATATCCCAAGATATCTTGCCAGCAGGATTTGAACTTTTAGATTCTGCAACAAATGTGTGGCAACTAAGGTTGTAAAGGTCTTGGCAGGAAGTTTTCCACGGACTGACTGGGACCTAAGGTACTCTTCTTGTGTTTGCTAGAGGGGTCTCTACATAAAGGCCAAGGTCAGTTGCCACATTACTATCATCTTGCTCAGAGATGACTGTGTGATATGGTAGAATTTCCTTTCATTTCCTAACATTTTCTAGTGCAGTGTTTCTCAACCTGGATTTAGTTTGACTGCCCTTCTCCAGGGGATGTTTTACAAGGTGAGATATCTTTGGTTATAATTATATGTAGATTTGTGTTCATGCTCCCTTGCATGCTGATCCTGGCATCTAGTTGGTAGAGACCAGGGGTGCTGCTAAATATCTTAAAATATACAGGGCAACTCCCACTCCCAGTTCTCAACACCAATAAAGAATTATCCTGCCTAAAATGTCAATAGCTCCAAGGTTTACAAAACCTTCTATATCAAGGTGAGTCCCTAGGTCTAGATAGTAAGGCAAGTCATTATTAGTGCAGTTCAATGGAGAAAAAGATAAAATGTATAGTGGATATGAGATCTGGAAGCTAACATTGGAAATTTAAAAAGTTTTTCTCCACATCTGATCCCAAATATTTATGAAAACCTTTCCCATGTCCTTCATAAGTCTTAGACCTACAATTTAATATTAGGAATGGAAGGATTGAGTTGACTGACATACCTGAGTTAGAAGCAAAGGCCATAAGGGGTGAAGCCATTGAGTGGGGTTGTTAGATTTTGACAAATAAAGATATTAAAGTGGAATAGAGGGGAGGGGGGAGCTGAGCTCAAAGAAGAGAATTTTCTTTATCAACTGCAGCTACAGGGCAATAACACATGTTAAGGTCCTGTCATTGTTAGAATTCAGAGGAAAGAAAAAGTCAAAAATTATTTTCTGCATTTCATCCTTTCTGTTAAATGAATTGGAAGTTACTAATTGAACCCAATGAAATATGAATTTTTATTACGGGTTTTGTGTGCACGTCATTTGCTAACAATCAGGCCATTTGATTGAGTTTAACCACTTTTCTTCTACAATAGTGCAAAAGTTTTGAGATCGCACCAGAAAAATAAAATAAAGAAATCACCATAAAACCAAAAATAATGTTTAGCCATGCAGTGAAGTTCTTTTAAAGCCATACAATGAACGTGATAATAGTAATGTCATCAATATATTATTATGCTTAAACACTTTAAACTAATTACAATAGTTCTGTCATGTTATATACCCTAACATAAATTACTGTGTAATAGTCAACAATTCTAAAGTGATTATGACAAGTACACTCAAACCTTTTACTGAAGTGTGTTCTTTATGTTGTAATGAAGTAGGCACCAGTGCCAAGGGGAAGCCTGTTTTGCTTATTAGTATTTATTTTTTTAAGATTTGTGTTTTATCTTTCCATTAACAGTACTGTCCAAAGAAAACTTTTCTTTATATTTTAGAGTTCATGCCATTGCCTTTGTTTAATGTCTTCACAGTAAAAAATAAAAGAGACATAATTGAAAGGTTTTCTTCCCCTATCTCATTTTATTTATTTATTTATTTATTTAAACATTTAATCATCTTTATTTATTTATTTTTTGTTTGTTTGTTTTTGTTAATCCTCACCCGGGGATATTTTTCCATTGATTTTTTTAGAGAAATAGAAGAGAGAAGGAGAGACAGAGAGAAACATTGATGTGAGAGAAACACGTCAATTGGTTGCCTCCTGCAGGAGCCCTGACCAGAGCCCCAGGCCAGGAAGGAGCCTACAACCAAAGAACATGCCCTTGACTGGAATCGAACCCAAGACCCTTTGGTCTGCAGGCTGATGCTCTATCCACTGAGCCAAACTGGCTAGGGCACCCCTATCTCATTTTAACACAAAATAAATTACGCATCAGGAAATAACTACAAGCAAACTTCCCATTCTGGATTATCTTCTTTTATTGCAAACTACTTTAGTATACTCAGTATTTCTCAATGGAGATACAATTTGCATTTAGATGGTATTCTTTGGGCTGCCCCACTTATTAGCAAAGGTTTGGTACCCATGACCCAGGCCAGTGGTCAGCAAACTCATTAGTCAACAGAGCCAAATATCAACAGTACTTCTTCAAAATAGACTCGCCCAGGCCGAAAACTGACTTCTGCGCATGGGCCACGAAGTTTCAAACACACTGTACGTGCGCGCCCGCACATGGTATTTTGTGGAAGAGCCACACTCAAGGGGCCAAAGAGCCGCATGTGGCTCGCGAGCCACAGTTTGTCGACCACTGACCCAGGCTTTCTACAGGTCAGCAGCACTTTCCAGTCACTGTGATATATTTTAATTCCCATAAATTTCTAAATGACCCCTAAGGAGTCTTATGTTCCAAAATACAATGACAAAAAATGAAGTAAGAATCACATTGAAAAAGATTTATCTAAAGCCATGTCTCTACTTTACTGAAGTAAATGAACTAGTTAAGTCTTAGATCAAAGCAACCTATAATGTTGCTTGAGAATGTGTCTTGTTTATCAATGGCATGATAATAATGTAACAAACATCTCTTTACACTAAAAGAGAATAAATGTACAGCTAACTAGAGCATTTTAATTATTTTAAAACATAAAATTTGAAAAGAGGACTTACAATCTTGGTACAGACATTATCCCCACCTATCATTTGCCAGGACCTAAGCACTGTAAGTTCAAATTAGTGATGTTGAGAGGTGACATCATAAAGAGGCCAAGAGCACTAGTAGTTAAAGGGGAAAAACAAAAGCATCCACTTTTACTTATGTTTTAATAGTCTCTAATATTCAGTCTAAGATTGGTATTTACTCTCACTCGTTATTACTGACTAAATAACTACTGATAGTTTAAAAATAACCCATTGATTTAACATCTTAAAAAAATACTTGTTTCAATTTTTCATGTAGTTTTAACTAACTGATATAACAAAAGAATGAATCTCAGTATTTGTTAAAATCAGTTGCAATCTTATCTTCCCTGAAATCCATGTGACTCTTGTTAAATCCTTTGCATAACTTTATATGGCTTTTTCCCATCTTAACGTAATGGGTTGTTCAAGATACAAGATTTTTTAAAAGGCTGGATGCCTATTAAAATTACCTACTTACAGATCCGAGTTAGATAATTTTACTCCACCCACCATTCCACCCCACCAATAGATGGAAATAATTACTATACAGAGTAGTATTTGACACATTGCCATTATCTAAGCTCTCTTTGGGGGAATTTCAAGTGATTTTTTTTCCGTAAGGAATACACTAAGTCAAAATATTCAAAGTTACAGGAAATGTTGGAGTTAAATTGCATTTTAAATAAACATTGACCTTTTAAAATATTAGTGTTAGAACTTCAGAAAGTGTTTCCATTCACAAGATATCATACGGTCACTAATTTCACTAATCAGCATGAAAAATATATGGCTGAGTCAAAAAGTGAGGCAGAGATTTCAATAGAAACACCATCAATTTCTCATAGTTTCTGGATGTTACTAAATTTCTAAAGAATGTGTTTGGGCTCTCTGCAGATTGATTCTTTGAATTACCAGTTGTTGAATCTTTACACTATTGGTTACTATTAATCCAGGTTAGTAAACATCTCTCTTTAATTTTAATTTTTTAAAAAAATAAGATGAAGATGACATTTTATCAAATATATTTAAAATATCTACAACTGCCATAATAAAATATCACAGACTGATGGCTTAAACAACAGGCTGATTTTCTCATAGTTCATTATAAAAGTGCCAAAATTTTTAAAATTCTATTGAGAGCTATTTCCCCAACTTGTAGATGATTGCCTTCTACCCATGCTTTCATATGGCCCTTTTCCACTTGGTTTATAAGAATACAAGAAACATTAAGGGAATTAACACTATAATTTTTTAATTTTGTTAATTATTGTTTGGCATAAAGAGGTATTAAATTCAAGTCTTTTTCTTTAAACATAGAAATCTGCAGATAGAATTACAAAGCCATCCTTATTCCAAGATTTAACAATGCTGTCCTCTCTTTTGGTTTAAACTCAAGATCTCTCTATTTATATATAGATAATAGATAGCCAGATGACTGATTGATAGATAGATAGATAGATAGATAGATAGATAGATAGATAGATAGATATACAGGGTGTCTACCAAAAATTTATACACATTTTGAATAATTATAAAGGCAGGATTTATTAAAATATATTTCATTTTCAAAATGTAACAGAATCAGCTGTTAGAATGTGTATATATTTTGGGGGACACTGGTATTTATAAGCCAATCATATGAGTATACTTTTAAATTAACTCAGAGAATAGACTGATGGTTGCCAGAGGGGAGGGTAATTAGGGACTGGGTAAATAGTGAAGGGATTAAGAAATACAAATTGGTAGTTTACAGAATAGTCACGGAGATGTAAAGTGCAGCATATGGCATATAGTCAACAATATTGTAATAACTGTATGGTGCCAGATGGGGACTGGAAATATCAGGGGAAACACTTTGTAAAGTATATGATTATCTAACCATTTTGCTATACATCTGAAACTAATACAAAATAATATTGAATATAAACTGTAATTGAAAAATAAAATTCAAAAAATAAATTAACTCACCATCCTCTTCCCTCTGGCCATCATCATACCATTGTCTATGTCCATGGACTATGCATATATGTTCTTTGGCTAATCCCTTCACCTTCTTTCATCCAGTCTCCTTCACTCCTCCCCTCTGATATCTGTCAGATTGTTCCACGTATCCATGCCTCTAGTTTTATTTTGTTCATCAGGGTTATTTTTTCATGAGAGTCCACATATATGTAAGCCCCTATGGTATTTGTCTTCCTCTGACTAGCTTATTTTACTTAGCATAATACTCTCCAGGTCCATCCATGATGTGCAAAAGGTAAGATTTCCTTCTTTTTTTCTTACAGCCACATAGTATACCATTGTGTAGTAAATGTTCCACAGTTTGTACTATACACACACATTCATCTACTGATGGGCATTTGGGCCATTTGCAGATGTTGGTTACTGTAAATAACACTGCTATGAACATAGGGGCACATATATTGTTTCAAATCGGTGCTTCAGTTTCTTGGGATATATTCCCAGAAGTGGGGCTGCTGGGTCAAATGATAATTCCATGGGAGGGGTGGGTGTGGGTTGGAAGGGGTCAATGGGAAAAAAACAAAGGGGACATCTGTAATACTTTCATCAGTAAATACAAAGCTTTTAAAAATGGCAGTTCCATATTTATATTTTGAGAAAACTCTCACAGTATTTTCCACAATAACTGTACCAGTCTGCATTTGCACCAATAGTGCACTAAGAACCCTTTTCTCCACATCCTGGCCAGCACTTCTTGTTTATTGATTTATTAATGGTAGCCATTCTGGCAGGTGTGAGGTGCCATTACATAGTGGTTTTAATTTGCATTTTTCTGATTATTAGTGACGATGAGCATTTTTTCATATGTCTCTTGGCCATCTGTATGTCCTCTTGAAAAAGGGCCTATTCAGGTCTGTTGCCCATTCTTTTAATTGGATTGTTTGTCTTCCAAGTATTCAGCTGTGTAAATTCTTTATATATTTTGGAGATTAACCCTTTATCAGATGTATCATTGGTGAATATGTTCTCCCATACAGTGAGTTCCCTTTTCATTTTGATTTATTTTTGCTGTGCAGAATATTTTTTTAGTTTGTTATAGTCCCATTTGTTTATTTTTCTTTATTTTCCTTGGCATAGGAAACATATTGGCAAAAATATAGTTATGAGAGATAGCTGAGACTTTACTGCCCATTTTCTTCTAGGATTTGTATGGTTTTGTGGCTTACATTTAAAATTTTTATCCATTTTGAGCTTATTCTTATGTATGGTGGTCTAGTTTCTTTCCTTTTCTTTTCTTTTCTTTTCTTTTCTTTTCTTTTCTTTTTTTTCTTTCCTTTCCTTTCCTTTCCTTTCCTTTCCTTTCCTTTCCTTTCCTTTCCTTTTCTTTTCTTTTTTTTCTTTTCTTCTCTTTTGCATGTACCTGTCCAATTTTTCCAACATTATTTATTGAAGAGACTGTCTTTATCCCGTTATAGATTCTTGCTTCCTTTATCAAATATTACTTGATCATATTGGCATGGATTGTTTGCGGGGCTCTCTGTCTGTTCCATTGATTTATATGTCTTTTCTAATGCCAGGACCAGGGTATTTTGATTACAATGGCCTTGTATAGAGTATAGGTTTATAGTAGGTGTTGTGATACCTTCAACTTTGTTCTTTCTCAAGATTGCTGAAGCTATTTGTGGTCTTTTTTGGTTCCATATAAATTTTGGGGATAATTTTCTAGATCTTTGAAATATACCATTGGTATTTAATAGGAATTGCATTGAATCTATAGATTGTTTGGGGTAGTGTGGATATTTTCATGATGTTAATTCTTCTAATCCGTGAACACACTATATGCTTCTTTAATTTCTTTCTTCAGTGTCCTATATTATACATTTTTAAAACCATCACTATTCAAGATATCAAAATTCTCTTTATTTTTTTACCATGATTTTTTTTATTTTATTAAATCTTTATTGTTCAGATTAGTACATTTGTTTCTCTTTTTTTCCCCCCATAACTCTCTTCCTTCCAGTTCCCACCCCACCCTCCGCCCTCACTCCCCACCCACTGTCCTCATCCATAGGTGCATGGTTTTTGTCCAGTCTCTTCCCGAATCTCCCACACCCTTCCCCCCCCCCAAGAATAGTCAGTCCATTTCCTTTCTATGTCCCTGATTCTATTATAATCAACAGTTCATTCTGTTCATCAGATTATTTATTCACTTGATTCTTAGATTCACTTGTTGATAGATGCATATTTGTTGTTCATAATTTGTATCTTTACCTTTTTCTTCTTCTTCCTCTTCTTAAAGGATACCTTTCAGCATTTCATATAATACTGGTTTGGTGGTGATGAACTCCTTTAGCTTTTTCTTATCTGTGAAGCTCTTTATCTGACCTTCAATTCTGAATGATAGCTTTGCTGGATAAAGTAATCTTGGTTGTAGGTTCTTGGCATTCATCACTTTGAATATTTCTTGCCACTCCCTTCTGGCCTGCATAGTTTCTGTTGAGAAATCAGCTGACAGTCGTATGGGTATTCCTTTGTAGGTAACTGAGTTTCTTTCTCTTGCTGCTTTTAAGATTCTCTCTTTGTCTTTTGCTCTTGGCATTTTAATTATGATGTGTCTTGGTGTGGTCCTCTTTGGATTCCTTTTGTTTGGGGTTCCCTGCGCTTCCTGGAGTTGTAAGTCCATTTCTTTCACCAGGAAGGGGAAGTTTTCTGTCATTATTTCTTCAAATAGGTTTTCAATATCTTGCTCACTCTCATCTTCTGGCACCCCTATAATTCTGATGTTGGTACGCTTGAAGCTGTCCCAGAGGCTCCTTACACTATCTTCGTATTTTCGGATTCTTTTTTCATTTTGCTTTTCCGATTGGGTGTTTTTTGCTTCTTCGCATTTCAAATCTTTGACTTGATTCTTGCGCTCCTCTGGTCTGCTGTTGGGAGTCTGTATAATATTCTTTATTTCAGCCTGTGTATGCTTAATTTCTAGTTGGTTCTTTATCACAACATTGAGGGTCTCATTAGATTTTTGTGGATCTCAATAAGTTTA